CGCGTGGAATGACAGAAACATGATTTAAAAGGGGAGGAACAATAGAAATGCGATAGTGCGAAAACTCTGCTAAAATAATGAATGCGCGAGGCGCGGGAATTATCGCGCGATGCGCGCGATCATGGCGCGTGAACAAGGGGTGGTGCGAAGATGAAGTTAATGTGTTTGGAATTGTCATATGGCTCCTTAAGAGCTTTAAACATGAAAAAGACAAGAAACGCGAAATGAGACGAGGGTAAATATACAATGCCTCTAGGCGCGCGCATTGCGCGTCCTCAGGCGCAATATGGTGCGCCTGAGTTACCCCAGGGTCGCCTGAGACATGCTCTGCTTGGTGGTTGGGCAGCGCGATGCACGGATGCTTCAATGGCAAGCGATAGTCACTAGAAGCAAAAAGCGCGACATGCGCGTGATCATTAGTGACAGATTGAATTACCAGAGACAAACTCTGGTCGACGCGAGGTGTAACTTGAGCCTCTGATGCGGTAGAAGGCTCCTCTATAGGCGCGCTAAGGCGCAATAGATGTTTAGGGTCATCCCTGACCTCTGATGATGCGAGCGGTGATAGCGGTGATGGTGATGGCGTGATTGGCGAGATTTCTTCCTTAAGCGATGCAATAGCGATAGGCGAGCGTGTTTCTGGTGGCGTGTTACTAACTTCCGCAATGGGCGCGTTATTGTGCAATAGATGTTTAGAGTCATCCCTGACTCCTGGTGATGCGTTGGTGATGGGTGAGCGTGTTTCAAGCGGCACGTTAGTGTGCAATAGAAGTTTAGAGTCATCCCTGACTAGCGATGCGATTGATGATGATGATGGCGAAGAGGCTGGTGCTGATGATGAAGATGATGATGGGTGCAAAGAGGCGCCTGCGGTGCGCTTCTGGTTGCGCTTTGTGAGCGCGCGCTTGAGTTCGTGATCTAAAGCGGTGGAGTCTGGTATGGCTTTGCATGCTGGTGCAGTTGATGGTTCAGGGGCGCATGAATCGCGCGAAGGCGCGGGAAAGGCGCGTGCGCGAGGCGCGGGAATAGGAACTGGTGGCTTTTTGTCAAGTACAACATCTGAGGATGCGCGATAGAAGAGTCCGGTTGTCACACTAGCGCTAGTGGTCGTATCCTGCATTGCGTGGCTCGCGTGGTATTGATCTTTGTACTTAGTCACCATGGCTTGTACTGGCGCAGTTGCTGTGACTAAGTTCGCAATTGGTGCTACTATGGGCGCACTAACAGGCGCGCTTGGCGCGGGAAAAGCGCGCGCAGTTAATAGGAACTGCGCAGCTGCGAAGACGTCCATAAATGGGTATGGGTCGTATGGATGGTGGTCAGGGAACTTGATCATAAGGCGCAAGCGAATTTGCGCCTGAGCGTCGCTAGGGATTCCTTCCATGAATAAGCGGTCGCGTTCAGCCTTCCCAATGCGGTCTTCATCCATAAGTGGCTGCATGATCTTCCTGAATGCGCGCAGGTAATTGCTTAGTTCTGTGCAAGAGGGCATCGGTTTGTTAGCGTATTCGCGCGCGATGGCGCATAAGTCCGTGAGCGCGTAGCGTCGTTTACCATCCCATCCGGGATACATTACCTTGACCTCGTCTAAGAAGGCGTCGTAATCGCTTACTTGCGCCTCGGGCATTCCTCCCCATAGTTCTCGGTCATCGCGCTCAAGGTAGCGAATAATACCTTTGATGCGGTCGAGTCCTTGGAGTCCTGCTTCATCAGCGAGCTGCTCATAGGTGTCAATAAACTCGGCGAGGTTGTCTGTAGTGCCGTTGAACTTGGGCGCGTTTGATGTGCCGCGGATGGGCATTCTAAAGGGCATTGAAGCGCGGGAAAGGCGCGCGCGCGAGGCGCGAGAATGCGCAACTAGAAATGGTTAGCTTGTGACAATGTAAAGAGATTGACCTATATATATGCGCTAAATGGCGCTAAGTGCGAAAGTGCATAGAAGTAGATCTTGCTGACTGTTCCCCTCGCGGTGGGCTCCAGTTGTAGAAACAACAATACTGTGAGGAGCAAACAAACACTCCAAACTGTATTTATAATGTTGTGAGGTCGCGCGTTGCCTAGTCTGCTATTCTTGAGAAGACAAGTGTGTTCGACCCTAAAGGGGAAGCGAGTGCAGCAAGGTTCTAGAAGTAGGCGCTGAAGGCGCTACTGGTCGGCCAATGCGAAGCGCGAGAAAGCGCGCAGGTACACGCGAGGCACGGGAAAGCAAAGGTACACGCGAGGCGTGGGAAGCGCGCGCGCGTGAGCGGAGACAAGTGAGAGTAAGTGTGAGTTTGCTTAAGTGGTGATTAGATGAATAACAAGAGATACGAGCGCGAGGTGTCAAAGAATAGATTGCAACTATATTCTCTAGGTGGTAAGTGGGTAAGTGGGAGCTAAAGTAAGTATCCTCGTGGTCCGTGATGCTGGCGCTTATATGGCGCCTAAGCGCTGTCATGCGGAGCCGACTCGCTACCGAGTAAGGTATGTAAAGATATATGTATGTAAGTAAGGGTCCATGATAAAAATAGAGGTGGAACGATATGTAAATAAGAGAAATGGGAATATACGCACTAGAGAGCTTGGTGGACAGTGGATGGATGCTTCTGGATGGCTGGCGCTATAGGGCGCTCAAGCGCGGGAAAGCGCGGGCGCGTATACATCGCAAAGCGCGGGAATGGTGCGCGCATGGCTCGCATTGTGCGGGAAAGCTGCGCCTCATATAGGAATAGCTGCAGGTAGCATACAGAGTGATGCTGCAAGTCGTGCTGTGTACTCACTAGTGGAAAGTGCCATATCACACCATGCGAGGCATGAGTCTCTACACCGCCCACCAGCCCTCAACGATGCCTCTATTATCCCCATAAACCTTGAATGGACTCTGGCGGCCTGAGAACTGACAATTGTGTGGACGAGAAACTCGAAGCCAACACCCTCAGCCCATCCAATGTCTCTACCGTCCTTCTTCCACCCTGGGATGAGGTCCCATGCTCTCCAGAAACCATTGATGATGATGCCAATTCTATGGCCAGAGCTAGCATCCGAATAGGCATGGAAGTTGAGGATGATGCATGGTTTGGGTATTGGTCGGGATATGTATACATTGTTGACAGAGTTCTTCCACCAGTTGATGTTGTTGGGCATGTTTTGTGGGGAAGTCCGTTGGAGAAAAGGCCGGTTACTGAACATGGCCAACATAGCCTCAAGATGGGTGAGGTAAGCTTGGCCCACAGGAATAATGTGGGCTGCATGCAGGAGCTTTCCATAGATCTTTTGGACCTCATGTAACATATGTGTATGTTGTTATTCCCAGTCTGCGATAGTGTGGAGGTATTTGATCCTTTTCTCAGCTGACAGGTCCACTGTCTAACTGTCCAAGTTCCAGATGAAACCTATGAATGGAGGCATTGGGCCAAATGGTATGTCTTTGGCCGGTTCCCATGGGGTGTCCATCTCTGAGGAGAATGTGTCAATGTTGGCAGTGCAGTAAGAGAACAGTGCATCTTCCTTGGATCACAGGGATCATTGGGATAAGTCTTGGATTGGGAACCATGTGTCTTCATCAAATTCTTTGGCTGAACCGTTAGGCATGGTGGTACCCTTGTACACCTGTTCATGGCAGGGTGATACTTAACCGTGTCTAACTATACACAGTACATTTTGTAAGTTTGTCTCGGAGCCACCAACATGAAGCTTCACGAAGCTTAACAGGCACGATGCCTCACTGGTTCTAAAGATCGGGATCTCTCTTGTGATCTCGATGCTACTGGAAATGTTTTTCTTGGGCTTCCAAGAATAGCACTACCATCGGAAAAATCACCAAATTAGGATATTCCAATAATCTCACTATTCCCACATACCTCCCTGGCTCTACTGCTGCACCAGAGCTTTCCCCTTGCTCACTCATGTATATAAGTAGTAGAATGGCATGTACATACATAAAATGATACAATAGACCGCTTTTTTCATTGTCTGAGAGCTTGTACAGCAGTCTACAGTGCTGACTACAATATGTGCACCCCAGGACTAAAACATATTCGCTTTTTTGCCCCTTTAGCAGGGAAGAAATTCTGGCTGTATATATCATATATTAGAGTGTTAATGAATATATTACACCGCTTGTTTGAGCCTCTGTAGTGTCCTACATCAGTAGATATGTTAAATTCATGAATACCTCTCCAAAAACATAAACCAGTTCGCATTTTTTAGTGTTTAGGTATATAGACTGGTGAATATTATTTCTAACATCTCTTTACTAGTATATACATCATATCAAGAGTATAGGTCAGTAGGATCAGTCCCTAGGGTGATATGTATTGTCATCTTCCTGGTGGTTCACTCCCTGAGAAATTTTTTCCTGCAGCTCCGGCCCTCTAAGATGGTAGGTAGTCTTTTACTATGAACATATGGAATATATTTATCACTTAGGTATACCAGAACAATACCAGGATCCTTGTCTACAATCCAAAGTCACTTCCTGCCTCCAATGTATCATATTTTCGCATTTTTGAGGTTTTTCACTACATTCTCACTACATAGACTATACCAGCTGTTCATATATCACTTATAGTACATATATGAAGCCCTACCAAGGCCAGGATCAGGTAGAAATATGTCAGAGTAATGATATCAAGCACATATCTCCTATTCTCACTGATAAGAATTCTCAGACATGAATATAGTAAAATATTATAATCAGACTGTCTTGGAGTACACTATATATACCAAGTAATACAGTCCTCGACTACCAGAAGGATCCATGAATAATTGACAGCAGGGGAATCCAATAGATAAGAAATAGGTTGTGGGAAAGTCAAAAAGTCCAAACATCGAAAAAGTACTATGCACCAACAGTCTATGCAAAGGTGGTCTGACCATAATAATGCAACAAATTGAGACCACAACACTTCCACATCACCTTTACCTTCACAACATATATTAGTATAGTATATAAGGTAGACGACATCCAAATCCAGCCACATTTTGTATCACCTCTGTGTACAGGTTATTTCACAAACATACTGCACATTAGAGCCTATTAGCATGCAAGAATGCATTCCAGATACCTTTGGCTACAATATGATGGAAAAAAAATCAAAGAATATTTATTTCCTGTGATGTTATTTTGACTTTTATGAAAAGTGTCCAAAACACCTTGAATAGTCTTCAGACACAGACTGATGAGAGAACATAAATTTGACGTCGAGAATTTGGCCATGTCACGTGATATATAATCTTACATAATCCACTAAAAATGCGAAGCAAAGTCTACCAGGAGATTGGCTCACAAATCTCAATAAGCCAGCTATGGGTCGCAGAAAGACCTGCATTAAAAATAGGCTCAAGAACCTGCATAAAAATCCCCCTAAAGTCAAGTCCCAAGCACCAGAACTCGTCAAGTCAAGCACATCAGAGCCTGGAATAGACTGTGACTCCGAGTCAGAAGCATACACTTCTGATCTTGAGTTGGAGGACAGTGAAGATAAGGTCATGCAGGAAATTCAAATAGATTCAGACCTTCTTGCCTTTGCTGCCAAACTCCAGGCAGCACATGACAGTATGGTTAGAAAGGAGAGGGAAAGACGAGAAGCCACAAAGAGAAAACCAGTCTACATGGGAAATTCAGACCGGACAAAATGGAGGCAGAGACTCGAGGGAAAGAAAATGGAGGCTGCTGGATTCCCATCCATAGTGTCATTCTTCCAAAAAAATGCAGAACCTGAGAGCAGCAAACAGGAAGACAGAATACAGGTGCGAAATAACGGATGTGAAATTGGAATATGCTGAATGATTTTCCGTCAGATTACCAATGGCAACCAGGTGCAAGGAACGAGATATGTCACAGCAGATCCAGAGATTGTTGAGATCCAACAGCCATCTCAGTCCGAACGAGTCACAGATCCACAAGCTGATGTTGCAGCTGATTCAGATGCAGAATCCGAGTTCCCAACCACATTTGACCTTCCGGATCATCAAGATCTCCCAGCTTTGCGAAGAGCCAAGGCTGAATTGATAGTGAGGCACAAGAAAGATAATCTCAAAATGTTTATCTGTGCTCGTGTCACCAGTATGATTGCTCTTATCAGTCTGTATATTGATCTAGAGCTTGGATTTGGGTGGATGAAATGCTCTAAGCTTGCAGCAGAAGCAACTGGAAGAAGGGTCAATCATGCCTGAAATTTATGCAGATGGGTTGTGGACTACATGCGATTCAGGACACTGCCCCTCCATAGATATAGCCGAATGGGAACCTCTATCCTTCAAGACGAGGACCTTGCACAACATATACATCTCCACCTCCAAGGCATTGCAAAGGACGGCTACATGAAAGCACAAGACATTGTGGATATTATGGCAACTGCAGAGATGAAACAGTACCTAGGCTCGAAGACTGGTATCACTGTTCAGACAGGTCAGCGTTGGCTGCATAAGATGGATTGGAGATACAGGAAGGCAACAAAAGGAATGTACATTGATGGCCACGAGCGGGCTGATGTTGTCGAATATCGGAAAGGATTTTTGAGCCGCATGAACGAGTATTCAAAACGGATGACAACTTACGATCACAATGGAAATGTCCTATCCCTGCCCACTGGAATTGATCTTGCTGCTGGAATCTACCCACTCGTCAAAGTGACCCAGGATGAATCTACATTCACAATGCATGATAGACGACAGACGAAATGGGACCACAAAGACACAAAGCAACCAGAGGCGAAGGGTGAAGGGCCCTCATTGATGGTTTCAGGCATGTTGACCGAAGAATGGGGAGAGTTGAGGCATGGCAACAGGTGCGTTGAAGATTTACCATCATTCCCAATTGTAACTTGGCCTCCGCAGTGAATCCCGAGTGCTGTTTAAGCCGGGTAAAAATCGAGACAGATACTTCACCAACGATGACCTTGTGAAACAAGTTGATAATGCAATTGATATCTTCGAGGAGAAGACTCACAGTTTCAAACGAGCCCTGTTCTTGTTTGACAATGCAATGTCGCATCAGAAACGGGCACCTGATGCCCCGAGTGCAAGAAAGATGGTGAAAAACCCAAAGCTTGGGTGGACGTGTCACCCAAATGGACCAAAAATGCGGAATACAACCTTGCAAGATGGAACACAACAAAACCTTTACTTTCCAGATGATCACCCCACAATGCCTGGGTGGTTCAAAGGCATGCAAGTCATTCTGGATGAGCGTGGACTCTGGCGAGCAGGGCTTCGTGCAGAATGCAAAGACTTCAAATGCGCCGATGGTGCCATTGATTGTTGCTGTCGTTGCACATTGTTCAATCAACCTGACTTTCAGAATGTCAAATCACATCTCGAAGAACTCATCACTGCCTGTGGACATCTGTGTGACTTCTATCCCAAGTTCCACTGCGAGCTCAATTTTATTGAGCAATATTGGGGTGCTGTCAAGCTTCTGTATCGCTCGGGTCCTCGGGTCCTCGGGTCCACAAGATGGAAGATATGGAAAAGCATGTCAGTGCATGTCTTGATGATATTCCGTTATTGCAGATCCGAAGGTAAGCTTGAAACAATCTTCAGCCAAACAACCACATCTAACGGCGCTGTCTCCAGGTATGCAAATCATTCCGCAAGGTTCATGGATGCATATACCAAGGGTCTTACAGGGCCACAAGCAGTTTGGGCGATGAGGAAATATCACGGACATCGAGTCGTTCCAAATTCTATTTTGGAGGCTTTAGACACAGCGGGAAAGATATGATTGACTACAGCATATATGATTTTGACAAGGCAACGGCAAAAGAAAAGATCGCAACTGGCAGATTTGGCCGTGGGAAACATGACATAAGCAATGCGGCGCAGTGGTTGAATCAAAATGTCGTCTACCTTATAAGTAGTTTACAATGTATTCTATACATTTTTAATGAAATCTTTGCCCTAGACAGGGTTGAAATATAACATTTGCATGATTGTGGGGTTTGCCCCTATATCATTGATATCATTACTCTGACATATTTCTACCTGATCCTGGCCTTGGGAGGGCTTCATATATGTACTATAAGTGATATATGAACAGCTGGTATAGTCTATGTAGTGAGAATGTAGTGAAAAACCTCAAAAATGCGAAAATATGATACATTGGAGGCAGGAAGTGACTTTGGATTGTAGACAAGGATCCTGGTATTGTTCTGGTATACCTAAGTGATAAATATATTCCATATGTTCATAGTAAAAGACTACCTACCATCTTAGAGGGCCGGAGCTGCAGGAAAAAATTTCTCAGGGAGTGAACCACCAGGAAGATGACAATACATATCACCCTAGGGACTGATCCTACTGACCTATACTCTTGATATGATGTATATACTAGTAAAGAGATGTTAGAAATAATATTCACCAGTCTATATACCTAAACACTAAAAAATGCGAACTGGTTTATGTTTTTGGAGAGGTATTCATGAATTTAACATATCTACTGATGTAGGACACTACAGAGGCTCAAACAAGCGGTGTAATATATTCATTAACACTCTAATATATGATATATACAGCCAGAATTTCTTCCCTGCTAAAGGGGCAAAAAAGCGAATATGTTTTAGTCCTGGGGTGCACATATTGTAGTCAGCACTGTAGACTGCTGTACAAGCTCTCAGACAATGAAAAAAGCGGTCTATTGTATCATTTTATGTATGTACATGCCATTCTACTACTTATATACATGAGTGAGCAAGGGGAAAGCTCTGGTGCAGCAGTAGAGCCAGGGAGGTATGTGGGAATAGTGAGATTATTGGAATATCCTAATTTGGTGATTTTTCCGGTGGTAGTGCTATTCTTGGAAGCCTGAGAATCACCAAAGGATTCAGAAGCTGTTAAGGGGATTGATAGAAGCCTGAGAATCACCAAAGGAATCAGAAGCCATTGAGCTTAATTGTAGGGGATTGATAGTTTACAAACAAACTTACAAAACCATACTGTTTCTAGTCAGTGAGTATTATGCTTAATTTTAACAGTATAGCCTGCCTTGTACCATTTGCGTCCTCCACTAATGACGAAATTTCTATTCTCGGAAATCTCTTCAGCCCATTGGGCACATCTGGCATTGTATTTGGCCAAAAATACAAGTTTGATCCAGAAGAAGAGGTGGTGGTCGACCCACTTGAAGGCAGGGCCAATACCTTTTGCCCTGAGTATATCTAGCCCTGCATCACTGATGTTACCATATATGCCCGCTGAGGGTCCAAAACAGAAACAGAAAGCAGTGTCGATGTCAAAGGTATCATTGCTGGGGAGCTTAATGGCCAAGGCTGCCCATTGTGAATGGTGGAGAGGGACAGTGTGGTAAGCTTCTGCCACATTGTGGACTGCGCCTTGCAACCCTGGAAGCAAGTGCCAGACAGATAAGCAAGTGTTGAGAATGTTCTGTAAGTACAGGGAAACAGGTCTGAATCAACCTGTGAATTAATGGATGAAATAAGGATTATGGAGAAAGGACAGGTTTTGAATGAGGCAAAATTCACCGGGCTTTCCTGGTTTGGGTACCGGGGAAAGCGGAGCTGTCTGAAAATAACCAACATAAAATTTAAGGTCTTTGGCTGTGAACAGGCCAATGAAACATCCTTTTGAAAACTCAAGATTAATGATTTTCCAGAAGGCTTCAAGATGCTCTTCAATGGATGGGCTATTAGGCAGTTTGTATGTACATTCGATTGGGGGAATACCCCCAGAAAGACCAGACAAAAGACAACCAGGTATATGTGGGTATCTACTAAGAAGGCCTGTTTCTTCAAGGAGATGGGCCCAACCCTGGGGGTTATATGGGGTAAGCACACTACTCTTTCTCACCTTAAGGACATCCTTGAGTGCCATGCTCTTTGCTCCCACATCCTGAGCACTCGTGGTGCAGTTTGTGGTTCCCATCAAAGCACCCATTTAGGCATTGCCATTTGAAACAGAGTGGGCTTCCTTGGGGGTTGACCAGACAGTTGTCTGGGGTCTTCTTGCAGTAGGCGAAGGTTCCATCCCATAGCTTTGTGGACTCACAGCGTTGGATGTCATGGGCAAAGCAGCTGAGGCAAATGGTGCAGGCTGACTGACTGCGGGTGCCTGCACTCTGGAAAAAACCCTGTTTGTATTGCTGGTTGTTCCGTAAGTTGTCTGGTGAATACTTTTGATTCTTGTTGCCTCCTCGACGAGGGGAACGAGACCTTGAGTTTTGGCGAGCATACTCTTGATTGTTGCGACACAAGTCTTGAGGATGGTCTTGGTAGCTTGTCTTCCAATTTTGGGGTTGTACTGCAGATAATTCGCCAGTTCTGGGCTGAAGTATGAGTATTTTCGCAGGGAGCGAGCATCCGTGTAAGCAGTGGTATGGGCATCCATGTAAGCAAAAGGGTATGGGCATCTGTGTGAGCAAAGGTATGGGCATCCACATAAGCAAGTGTGCGGGCATCCACATTAATATTGTGGGCAACCATGTTAGCAAATGTGTGGACATCCGCTGTGGGTACAACATTTCAGATGGTGAATACTGAACTATGTGTTGGGTCTTGCAGAACCTAGCTGCTATTCGACCCTAAAGGGTTTCTGGACCAGGCTCAAGGCTCAGAGAAGAGGAAATATGATAGAAACTTGCTGAATACTCAGACTCATAGTAGAACTGGTGAAAAGGTAACTTGATTATGTAAGCTAAGGTGCAAACATAGTACTAGGTAAAACAGTCTCTGCAAGGCTAGCCAGAAATCATTCCCTACACCGTGTGAGCAAGAGTGCGGGGAATGATTGGCATAGGCATTCGAAAAGGGAGAATTTTGGGGTGGGTATAAGAAAATATGTGTAATGTTTGTCAGAGAGGAGTTTATGGATCATATTTTAGAAAAAACATATCGTGGTTAAGGTTTGCGAATGGACTTTGTCCCAAAGTTCCTTGTTAATTGAATGAAGAAGAATTTCATTGATGATAGCGATGTTGAAAGCTTCATCCCATTTGAGACGGTTGTGCCAGTCCTGGCGAACTTGCAAAGTGCAGTGCAGTATCACTTGCATCTGCTAGCTCTTGTTCTCTATTTTGGTTCCACCTATCAATCCTTTGATTGTGACCTACTGTCCAAGACTGAGTCAGATGTTGGATGATGGCTTCTCGGGTTTCTCTGGTTGCTTGGTGGATATCATCGCAGATGTTTGCATATGTGTCCCCATTGAAATTGGGACACACTTTGTTTGATGGATCAGCCATGTGGATTTATTATGAGAGGTATAAAGAATGTTTATTGTTGACTAGATGTGAAGAAGAAATAAAACGAGAATGACAAGAAAATTTCTGAGTGTGAATGGTTGTAGCACAGAGCCAAGAGGCACCATGCCACATTAGCCATTCACTCGAAGACACAACTCTATTCCTCCATGCATGCCTTGTTACATAATAGACTAATGATTTCTAATATCTCCTTTATATTTGTCAACATCTTATTTTCAGCTCTGTACGTAATTCACAAGTCTCACTTCACAATGTACAGAGCTACAAACATGTTGGATGATATCCTCTTTGATCCTGAGGTGGCCACTGCTCTAGTACATACTCTGTTTACAGAAGCTGAATGGCAACTGATATCCAGACATGCATTTGTCTATTGGTGCCAACTATCACACTCTACAATATATTTTCTCATCAAAAAACCTGCAATGTGCTCATCAGCCATGTCAGGCAACCTGTGTTACACCTATTTCATGCTGGAGTGAGTATTTGGGTGATTTTTATATTGCATATTTTCTGTTTTTGAGCTGTTACTGGCTGTTTCATTTCAAATTCTTGCTTATGAGTTTGGTGTCATTGTTGCTGAATGTCTGTCACAGAAAATTGTGTCTCACTCTGTCAAGGACCTATCAGTCTGTTTAGAACCTGATAGTTGTGATGCTCACAGGCTCAGTGTTGCATCTTCTGTGAAGTGCCTGATTAGTGTACATACTTAAATGATTATTGTGTAAAATTACACCATTTGCAACCAATCCAACATTATTTCTTGCAAGTCACGGACTAGCACCACTAAGATCAAGACAAATCAAAATTAAATTTCACAATATGTACTATATATGCATGCTCATGCATTATTCAAGATCTATGATATATTAACATATTGAGAATATGAGATATTCAACCAATGGTGTTGGTGGTAGCTGCTTGTGTTGACTGAAATCATTGACATTTACTATAGCCCACAGTGAGAGTCTCTGGCTTAACTACATTTACACTTGCATGCACTTTTTCTAATGCTCAGCGGGAGGTTCGTCATCTGTGTTGCTGGTATTCAGAGGAGCAAAAGGATCAGCCATCATCTCAGAACTCTGCTTGGAAGTTGGTGAAACTGGTGGTAGCACATAAGCTTGCGAGAACATCTGACTGGGAGTGAGGACAACATTAGTTCCAGCAGAGGTAGAGATACATGTGCGAGGAAACAGAAATTTCTAGTAGTTAGTAAGTGAATGGCCCTGAAGGACTATAGCAAGCATTTAATATCCAACACTCCCCCTCAAACCGAGCATAGTCTGAGGGCAGAGGCAAAGTGCTTGACTTTGAGACTAGGAAGAGATTTTGTGAGGATGTCTGCAGTCATAATGTCTGTAGGGGAGTAAACTAATAAAATTGAGCCTTTTTCAACAGAGAACTGAATGAAATGATACCTAATGTCTATGTGTTTCATCCAGGTGTGAAATGCCCTGGACTTGGCGAGTGCAATAGCTGATTGGTTGTCACAATGGAGAACAATACATTTTACAGCATCCCAATGCGCCATTTCTGGATTTGCACTGAATTGTGTGATGGTCAATACAGCAAACATGATGTCAGGTTGTGTACCCATGGCTAAGTACATCAGCAAGCCTACAGCTTTGTGATACAGGATGTTCTTCATGAGGCCAGCTTTGGCTGGCATTTTTGGAGATTGCGAGAGGGATAATGATACATTTTGATTCATGGGAATGGAGCAGGCTTAATGTCAGCAAAATTGTACTTAGCCAAAATGGCTTTGATGTAGGTCTCATGCAAGAATGAAATGGTCCACGCGACACGATCGGGCATGACCTTCATTCTCAGGAGGGATGCGACTGGCCCTAGGTCCATGAGCTTGTAGCATGCAGCTACTTGCTGCTTGAACTCAGCAATTAGAGTGTGATTGCTGCCGGTGATGGTGCCGTTATTGACATGGGCAGTGAGTATGAGAATATTGGGGCTGATGTATTTGTAGAATATGCCCCAGTCCGATTCTGCACACATTAGTCCTAAGTCTTTGACATAGCTGTTGGTACCATTTGAGAGCTCCCTGCTTGGAGCCGTAAAGTGCCATGTTTAGGCGCACGACTGGGTGCTTAAACTGTGAGTCAACATTGAGTCTGGGTGGAAGTTGCATGAATATGACTTCATTAGAGTCAAGTTTTCCATTGAGGAAAGCACTGTGAAAATCGAAGATGTCAATGTCCCAGTCATTGCAGGTGGCAATTGCCATGATCGCCCAGAGAGAAGTGAGGTGTGTGACCAGCACATACATATCGTAATAGTCAACACTGTGCACCTGTGAGTAGCCTTTTGCGACTAGTTGAGCTTTATACTTATCAATTTCCCTGTCTGTATTTCTCTTAATGTGGAAGACCCATTTACATCTAAGGTAGCTCTCAAGTGCGTTCATCAGACCTCACATGACAAATCATGACAATAGTGTTACAAGTAGATAAAATATACATCACAATTCAACTACAACACATATAAAAAATATCGCATCGCACAACGATGCAGAAAAATGATAAAAAATTATGAGCGCTTTCTGTTTTCCAAGATAACAACAGGAAGAGTTGTTATGTTGAAATTTTGAGTTGGAGAGTACTTATTTGCTGAAAAGTACTGTGTATGTGTTGTGGCAGAGCTTGTAAGTAATTCTACCTTGAGCATGGCTGGGCGCAAGCGCAAAGTGATGGCCTGGATGGCCAACTTACCATGGAAGGAGAGGAGAGTCGGTACTGATTCATGCAACAAGGAAAATGAGGACCCTAGTTGTTACTATCACTCATGTTTCAGACAAACAACTCCACCTTTGAAAGTTTCGGCTTGTCCAGCATCAATTATCCTTGCAGTCGTCACAGACCTGTCACATCACGTGAGGTCTGATGAACGCGCTTGAGAACTACCTTAACTATATTTGCTCCTCCTGGCTTCTCTACAATCAACCAGGTGTTTGCATCATTGAGCATGGTAAGTTCCTTTTTCACTATATTGTCCTATTTTGGCCAGTCTGTTCTAATGCAGGCATCTTCCAGTGTTGTGGGATCCATTCCCTCTACTTCTTCCACTCCAGCCACCATCATGAAAACCTCTTCGTCATTGTCATCAAGCTCGCCTTTTTCACTGCCCACTCCTATCTCAATAGCTAGATGACTATACTCCCCCACAGGTTGCATGCCTTGAGGTAAGTCTGAGCTTTTGCTGTCAGTGGTGCTGGCACCTTCTCTTAGGCTCTTGATGTAGGCTGATTCTACTCTTACTCTTCCAGAGCAACACAGCTGTGTATTGCCTTCAAATTGGGCACCTAGGTGGTCAGTGGGAGGTGGGTTGTTCATTGCGGGTGATGGTTGACCGGTGAGTTTTAAACTGACATCATTGATTTGTACCATGTTGCTAACTGGTACTTTTCTGGATGAACTGACATCATTGATTCATACTGTGCAGTCTGCTGGTATGTTACCTCCTTCTATAGGCACTACCACCTCCATTGTGTCAAATATAACACTCCTCTCCACAGCAACCCTTCTAGATTCCAGCAGGTAGATGTGGTGACCATTGCTAGCATGGTCAAATCCCACCCATCTGCCTTCTACGGCTCGCATGTCGAGCTTGGAACCATTTGGCAAATGGACCTTCATGTGGTTGCCCCACTCCGGTGTAGGGATTTATTTCTGGCTGGGCTTGTAGAGACTGTTTTTACCTTAACTTATGTTGGCACTTTTGTAGCTTACATAAGGAAGTTATTGTTATCTTTTCACCAGTTACCAGTATGAGTCAGAGTACTCAGCAAGTTTTCATGATATTTCCTCTCCTCTGAGCCTTGAGCCTGGTCCAGAAACCCTTTAGGGTCGAATAGTAGCTAGGTTCTGCAAGACCCAACATTGTTCAGACTCACCATCTGAATTGTTGTACCTTCACCGGTAAGTTTTCCAGATTGGGTTTCTTCTTGTATAACACCTCATAGGGTGTCATCCCATTCAGCGCCCAGGTGGTGGTTCTATTTTTCAGCTAAGTTATGTGCATTATGGCCTCACCCCACAGGAACTTGGGCAATCCACTCACATGGAGGAGTGCATGCATGCGCTCAACAAGTGTACTATTCTGACATTCGGCTAGACCGTTGTGTTCTGGGGTGTCATGGATGGTGAGTTTTCTCTCGGTTCCTTTGCTTTGAAGATGATGTGAGAACTGTTCTCCAGTGTATTCTCCCCCTCAATCCGAACACAGCCTCTTTACCTTGGCATCGAACTGTGTGTTCACCTGGGATTCAAACACTTTGTATGTGTCGAATGTCTCATCTTTCATGTGTAAGAGGTACAGGTGCATGAATTGAGTACAGTCATCCATAAATGATACAAAGTACTCTTTATGCCCAGGAGTTTGCACTGGGGAGGGTCTCCAAAGGTCTGTGTGGACTTTGTCATTGAAGTTCTCTTGGCATGGATGATCGCGATGAAGGTGAGGAATCTTGACTATAGGTGAAAACACCAAAAACCAATGGGGACTCTACAGCAAGACCTGGACACGAGAATACAACTTGACCCAAAGGACAGCTACTGAGAGAAGTTCCTCGCTAATAAAATGGAGGGAAACTCTGTCAACTAGACGGGCACTTAGTAGGTGCGAGAAGATAATGTGCGCGAAGGCGCATGTAAGCGGAGGCGCACTTTGAGCGATAAGGGAAAGAGTCTTCAAAGAATAGTGGAAGCACAGGTGATAGTCGATAGAGAAGTATAATCTGATTTCTAGCACTGAGGTGGAATATACACTTTGCAGTATACTGAGATAAGGGAAAAGTGGGAACCCTAGTCCTAAAAAACCCTCCATTGCGCCCGAGAATTACGCTATGTGGTGCATCCGAGCACGGTACCGAACCAAGTAACTATATCAACACTAAATATATATTAAAGCCTAAGATAGGTGTTCTGTATGTAAGCGCAGAGATTGGACTGAGAATACGTCAATTCAATAAGATCGATAAGAATAATGCACCAGTAAATCAGCGAGGACGTAGGACAGACAGATAGACAGGAGCGCAAAGACCTAGGGTGAGGCACATGAAGCACGAGTGCCAGTAAGGCGCACGCAAGACTGATCCTATGCATAAGAGCTGGAATGTATAGGGGATTATGTGGGTAAAGGGCTGCATATTTAGCATAGAGACGTGCAAGTCTCTACAACGAACTTTGCTGATAGGCTTTCGGGTGGCCTTTGCATACTTGCATGAGTTGCATTTCTCCAACATAGAGTCTGAGGGGTCTATGGTGAGTTCAGTAATGGTGCCTTCCTTTAGCATTCATTTGATGCTGTCTGGAGTGATATGACCTAGTATAGCATAAGCATCTCCCATGATGAGTACTTTGTTTGTCTTTGCTGCTCCTGTGAATGGTCTTTTAGGACCTCTTATACAGTATAGGCCTTTGTTAACCAGAATTTCCCCCAACAGCTTCCTTTTGTCATCGAAGATCTTACAGACACTCTCCTGGAACAATGTGACACATCCCACTGCAGCTAGGCGGCTGATAGAAATGAGAGTTACACCCATTTTTGGCGCATATAGGACATCCTTGAGTAGTACATGTGTGCTCAAGCTGCCATTCGGCAATGAGATCATGATGTTGCCTTTCCCGGTTGCTTCAAAGGTATGTTTGTCTGCAGTTGTTATCAGTTTTGGAGCTATATTGACGAACTCTTGGAACAGGTCGCAGTACAACGACACATGTCATGACGCACCTGAGTCAAACAATTTGATTCATTGTTCTCGATGTTGGCTTGAGCTCGTCAGTATCAAGTAAGTGTATGTGGTCTGCTTGTTTGTTCCAGCGGCTTTGTGTGCTAACCAGACACCCTCAGGTTCTTCATCTTTGTCCTTTTCTTTGGCGCTAGCTGCAGTCTCAGGCTTCTTATCTTTGCCCTTTGCCTCCTGCTCCTCCACCTCCAGAACCTCTGCAGTCTTTTTGCATGTGCCCATATTTGCTGCAATTATGGCAATTTCCTTTGATTCGTCGAGTACACTGACCTGGGTTTGTATTGTAAGCAGCATCCTCATTGGAGGATCTGGTCTTTCTCGACTTGGATGCTCAATGATTGTACTTGTCGATGATAGTCAACATCAATGTGTCAGAGGTGAGTTTAGCGCTGGAGACTTTGGCAGACACTGTTAGCGCCAATAGATGGGGGTTGTAACTGCTTGGCAACAAGCTCATGATCATTGCAGCAAAGCTCTTGTCAGTAGGTGTGTGTCCTAGCGAGGCTAATTGTTCTTTTATTGTTCACATTCTGTTGAAATGCTCTCTGATGTTCCCCTTTTCAGTACATTTCTGGTCTTGGAGCTTTTGCAATAGCTCCACAGACACTATGTACAAGCACTGCTCAAACAGGTTCAAAAGGTGCATAAAGATCTCCTTTGCCATGTCTAAGTTTTTGATTTGGATGAACAGAGAGTCAGGGATTGTCCCCGCTATCTGTTGCTTCATTATGGCCTAGCCTGTGCACCATTCTTTCAGCTTAGTCTTATATGTGCTGACTTCTTTCACTTTGTCTGGTGTAGCAGGTACCCACAATGTTCCTCTGTTAGGCAGTGTCCCACGTCATTGTTCTGCCCGCTCTTGGGTCCACACTGTGGGCGGCCAAGCGTATGCTGATGAGATTGTGTCCTCGAAGATGTGTCTTGAGAGCCTGCGAAACATGTGTGCAGAACGTGTGGCACAGACCAAGGGGGTGTCGCCTCCTTTCGGTGAGGGGGTGACTAGTCCAACTCCTGGCGGTGATGGTGGTCAAGACCTCGTAGATGTCGAGCCAAATGTTGATGTGCCAGAAGTCATGGCCAATGCCTGCATCGAGGAACAAGTCAATGTCGCTGTAGAAGAGGAATGGGAAGTGTGGTAATATGAGTGGTGTGAGATATACTCGAGTAGTCCTCGATGAGCAAGATATACGTCGGCCCAAGGGGATTGCTACTGAGAAGGTTCCTCTAAGTGTATATGTGGAGGGAAACACTGGACCGGTGTAGGGATTCATTTCTGGCTGGGTTTGTAGAGACTGTTTTTACCTTACCTTATGTTGGCACTTTTGTAGCTTACATAAGCAAGTTATCTTTTCACCAGTTACCAGTAGGAGTCAGAGTACTAAGCAGTTTTTCATGATATTTCCTCTCCTCTGAGCCTTGAGCCTGGTCCAGAAACCCTTTAGGGTCAAATAGCAGCTAGGTTCTGCAAGACCCGACATTGTTCAGACTCACTCTCTGAATTGTTGTACCTTCACCGGGCGCTTGGTCAAGCCTGGTAAGGCGCGCGAGCGAGCGGAAGTGACGTAAAGCGCCGATGAGTGACGACGGCCGACAATAAGCGACGACGCGCAACTTATAATGGAAGCACACGCTAAGCGGAAGCGGTGCGTGCGTGCAGGTGGTGGAGCGCAGCGACTCTTAATGAGTCAGAAAACTAATTGGCAGAGTTTCTAGTAATGTACGGCGGCGGGCGCTCCTATTGTACTTCAGATATTTAAGAGATGTGAGGGAAACTTAGACTTAGAGTCCAACGATATGCGGGCAGAAAGATAATCATTACACAGTTTAGGCGCGTATATATATACTAAGTAGTACTAAGCGCTGTCAAGCGCTAAAGCGAACCGAGAAGTGAAGTGGATACGAGATATGGCCATAAGCGCCGGAGATATGTCAGGATAATTGGAAATAGAAGGGTAATACGCACCAACGAACCGAACGGACATGGAATGGATGGACGGAGGACGAGCGATGGAACCGAGGATGCGCGACTGAAGCGCTTGTGCGCGCAAGCGGCCGATGGAGTGCTCAAGTGCGCATGATGAGATATGAGTCACGCTATATTAGGAAGTGATAGAGACGATGGGAATTTAGATCCCTGCAAGCCCACAGAGATATCAGTCTCTACATCGCGCTGTGCAGCAATTGTAAATGAGACCCACTCAATCCAGACTACGACATGTCAATCCCCCCTGCAACCTACGAAGAAGCAATGAAACAGTCAGATCACGTGCACTGGCTTGCGGCCATGAAGGCCGAGCTTACCCAGGCTATGCTGTCATATTTATGCATAACCATGGCTAACTACAGGTATTTTGGTTATGCATGGCTGTTGCTAATTCCCAGACCCATGTATTTTATGCATAATGGTGCCTGCACCTCATTGATCCTTCCCACAATATTTCCACACCTCATAGCTTCGCATTTTTGGCCACCTGCCGTGGGAATTACCCCACAACACCCAAAACATTACCCAATATGTTATACCCCACAATTTCAATTATTCCCACACCCTCCCCACTTCACTGCAGCTTCACCACCACACTACAACAGGTCCCCCTTTATATACAAGTAGTTTAGTATATATGTGTACAATATAATATAATAGACTGCTTTCTTTGTTTGTTTGTGTCACTGCTCCTCCTCCAGGAGCAATTCAACATAGGGTAGGGTACAGAACACTTTCGCATTTTTGCCCCTTTGGTGGGGAAGTGTTCTATTATATTCAGAACATGTTTAGGAGTATATATAAAGATATTCCCATCTTTATTTGACCCCCTGAAGCACCCTACATCAATAGATATAGCACATATGCAAGAAAACACAAAATATGTTCCCATTTAATTGTTTCTGGGTGGACAGACTTGAAAAAATGATTCCCAGAATCTATTAAACAATAGTAACAATGTATCAGAAGTCCAGGACCATAGGACAAGACCTTGTTGTGTGGTGCATCCCCCCTCTCCTGGTGGTTCACCCCCTGTGAAATTTTTTCCTGAAGGACCGGACCTCAATTGAGGTGAGGGCTCTATTTCTATGTACACTTGGAGTAGATACATCATATAGCTGGCCCAGGACACACATAGGATCTTGCTACAGGAACAAAAACATAGAAAATCCCACTTTTGATACTTTTGATGTTTTTGAGTGCCTTACTCTTACATAAATGACCAGTTCTGCTCATATATAATCAGTAGTACATTCCCACATATGTTATATGCCAAGGATCAGCCCCACATATGGTGCAAATATGATATCTGATGTACAGGGGGTATTTCTACTGATAAGAATCCTACATAGTAATCAAGCCTGTGATAAATAATCAGAGACCTGTAATACCTCTCTTATATGTCCCTGATAATGAATCTGAAGTTTTAGAAAGATCTATGAAGGACTGACTGAATGACAAGTAAAATGACATATGTGTGAAAGTGACAATTGACATCTTTGTACACAAAATCACATTTATATATGGTACAGGTCAGATATTTCATTGAAAATATGTAGGATACATGGTAGACTACTAAAGAACCTATATCACATACTGCCCTGAGGTTGGAGGGTGGTGGAAGAGATGTGGTGTATATCTGAGTTGACTCAGTATTAAAGTCCTACTACTCCATTTTCGATGTTTTGGGTCTTTGAACTTTCCCACACTCAATTTCTTATCTATTTCACTTCCTCAGCACTCAATTCTTGATAGATTGTTTTGTAAATGTAGACATATGATACTGAATATATTTGAAATCTACTCCAGGTGTCTGATTATTAAATTTTGATGTTTTGAAAGTATAGGCTCCTTATCAGTAGAAATAGCAAGCATCCACACTAGCCAAATCTTCAGCCTATTTTGAGCTGATCTGTGTCATATAGAGCAAGTATATATGCTATGCTAATGATATATGATCAGGCTGGATTATTTATGCAAGAGTAAGGCACTCAAAAACATCAAAAGTATCAAAAGTGGGATTTTCTATGTTTTTGTTCCTGTAGCAAGATCCTATGTGTGTCCTGGGCCAGCTATATGATGTATCTACTCCAAGTGTACATAGAAATAGAGCCCTCACCTCAATTGAGGTCCGGTCCTTCAGGAAAAAATTTCACAGGGGGTGAACCACCAGGAGAGGGGGGATGCACCACACAACAAGGTCTTGTCCTATGGTCCTGGACTTCTGATACATTGTTACTATTGTTTAATAGATTCTGGGAATCATTTTTTCAAGTCTGTCCACCCAGAAACAATTAAATGGGAACATATTTTGTGTTTTCTTGCATATGTGCTATATCTATTGATGTAGGGTGCTTCAGGGGGTCAAATAAAGATGGGAATATCTTTATATATACTCCTAAACATGTTCTGAATATAATAGAACACTTCCCCACCAAAGGGGCAAAAATGCGAAAGTGTTCTGTACCCTACCCTATGTTGAATTGCTCCTGGAGGAGGAGCAGTGACACAAACAAACAAAGAAAGCAGTCTATTATATTATATTGTACACATATATACTAAACTACTTGTATATAAAGGGGGACCTGTTGTAGTGTGGTGGTGAAGCTGCAGTGAAGTGGGGAGGGTGTGGGAATAATTGAAATTGTGGGGTATAACATATTGGGTAATGTTTTGGGTGTTGTGGGGTAATTCCCACGGCAGGTGGCCAAAAATGCGAAGCTATGAGGTGTGGAAATATTGTGGGAAGGATCAATGAGGTGCAGGCACCATTATACATAAAATATGTGGGTCTGGGAATTAGCAACAGCCATGCATAACCAAAATACCTGTAGTTAGCCATGGTTATGCATCACCCTGCCATGAACAGGTGGCTTGCCACCATGAAGGAAATGGGTGTTTACAAGATGACGAAGTTACCTGAGGGGCGCAAAGCGATAGGAAATCACTGGGTCTTAGAGTTTAAAGAGGACAATAAAGGAGGTCCTATCCAGAAGGCTCGACTGGTCACTCAAGGATTTTCCCAAGTTCCCGGTGTCAACTACAGTGCAACCTTCGCTCCAGTGATCAAGACGGCTTCAGTTCGCCTCATTGCAGCACTCGCATGCCGCCATGACTGGGAGCTCGACACGTTTGATGCATGGCGTGCATTCTTATGGGAAATCCTGAAGGAGGAAATTTACATGTAGTGATGTGCACGGCCCGGCTTCAGGCCGTGGGCCAGGCCAAGCCGGGCCTGAATAGGCCAAGCCAAGCCGGGCCAAAGTCACGGCCTGGTGGCGGCTTTGGCCTGGCCTGACATTATGAAAAGCCGAAGCCGCCGGCTTGGGCTGCGGCTTTTGGAACTGTGCCTGAGGCTTGCAGCGCCCCAAGAATCTGGCTTCTATCTCGTCTTGTTTTAGCTTTTCAATCACTTCCATTAATATTGTGCTTCATGTCTCTTAACTATACCAACTAGCTGATCATATGCATCAGATGACTGGTGAGCCATAGATATTGTCATATATGCTGATATTATGATCATATATAGAAAAGGTTTTCGTATTGCTGATACAGATTACGAGTACCTCGATCCCATCATTGGCGTGAGTATCTTTTTGAGTTATGCTCATGTTCATTATGACCCCTCACAGACACCTAGTACTTTTCGGACGTTGTGATCTAGCCTGGACATTATAATGTTCTCCACGGACAGCGGCAGCGCGGACACTAGACCTTACGGACCTGAAACTCACATTACCCCACGAATCTAAACATTCCTCATTTTCATTCCCTGTCACGCCGAATCGTAATTATTACTCTAGTTGATTGGACCGTTGTTCCATATCCCGAAAGTGCGGATTCTTTGTCTTCGAGTGCACGGTGTTCGCGTCGGAGCTCAGACTCATGCATCTTCTCGACATCGTTGAAGGAGCGCTCAAGACTCTCCCAAGCTTCCTGTTCATGTTTCACTTGAGTTACTAAGTCTTTGATGTGCCCTGCTAGTTCTTCCTGATGGGCTCGGTTTTTGCACATCTGTGTTCATTTTGCGCGAGCTCAAGATGACACTGATATACTTCAAAAAGGCAACTGTCCTCCTCGCTACAAGTGGTGTTTTCGTCAGTACGGGCGATGTATATTCGCGCATGTAGACTCGACTCTGGATGGGGGGCTGGAAGCAGAAACATGACTCGCTGTCGTGACGTGCCGCTCAGGCTGCCGCATGCAGGACAAAACTACATTCTAAGATGTGCAGGTATGTCATATGGTTGAATCCCGGTTGAACAGCAACCTGCTCATACTCACTTTGTCAGGACCATGAATTCACTACTCGAGCCGCGGCTCAGGCCAGAGCCGGGCCAAAGCCAGCCGTCATTGGCGGCTTTGGCCCGGCCTGGATTTTTTGCAGGCCAAAGCCACGGCTTTTGGGCCAAGCCGGGCCGGAACATCACTATTTACATGTGTCAGCCTAAGGGCTTCGAGGAAGGAGACTGGGCTCTAATGGTATGGCTCATGCTTCGGACGATCTACGGACTAAAGCAGTCCACTATGGAGTGGTACGAGCAAGGACGCGCAGTGATGACAGAACTCGGTGAAGGTTCAACGATACTGAGAGGAACAAATGATGCTCCTGACTGTATCTATAAATGTTGTAAGGTCGCGCGTTGCCTAGTCTGCTATACTTGAGATGACAAGTGCGTTCGACCCTAAAGGGGAAGCGAGTGCAGCAAGGATCTAGAAGTAGGCGCTGAAGGCGCTACTGGTTGGCTGATGCAAAGCGCGGGAAAGCGCAGGCGCGCGCGAGGCGCGGGAAAGTGCACGCATGTATATAGAGAAATGAGATGATAGTGCTACTTTCTAGGGAGTGATTCCAACTAAGCTCAGTTGTGTAGTGTGAACATGGGGGTTGCTAAACTCCTCTCTGGTATGTACTACTGGCGCTTATGTATGGCGCCTAAGTGCTGTCATGCGGAGCCGAAGCGCTAGCGAGTAAGGTATGTAAAGATATATGTAAGTAAGGGTCCATGATAAAAATAAAGGTGGAATGATATGCAAATAAGAGAAATGGAAATATACGCACTAGAGAGCTTGGTGGACAGTGGATGGATGCTTCTGGATGGCTGGCACTATAGGGCGCTCAAGCGCGGGAAAGCGTGCGCGCATATACATCGTGAAGCGCGGGAGTGTGCGCGCATGTTGCGCGTTGCGCGGGAAAGCTGCACCTCATATAGGAATAGCTGCGGATAGCATGCAGAGTGATGCTACAAGTTCATGCCATGTACTCCCTAGTGAAAACTGCCATATCACACAATGTGAGGCATGAGTCTCTACATCGGCTTCACTCGTTGTGCAGTTGATCATGCCATCTTCATTTACGACAAAACTTCCAGCTCTACCAGTCACATCTTCTGCATCGTCGGTTGGCACATTGACGACGGAATGGGGACCTCAAACTCCAAGCCTTTCCTCACCTACGTCAATGGACACATAGCTCAATGCTTTGGGATCAAAGACTTAGGTCCCATTCAAAAATTCCTAGGAATCCAGTTCAAACGCCATCATGCCTCCCGTGACTTATGGATGCATCAAGGAGAGTATATTACATACCTCCTTGATGAATATGATCTCCTCGACTGCCACCCTGTACAACTTCCTCTAGACCCAAAGAACCCCTTCGGACGCGACATGGACACTTATGACAAGATCCCCAATCTTCTCACTTGCTTTCGTAAGATAGTAGGTGAACTGCTCTACCTAGCTGTTTGTACATGCGCAGACATCGCATTCGCCGTCAACGCACTAGCCCAACACTGCACTCAGCCTTCACCTCGCTTTTATGCCGCCGCTAAGCGACTCCTCTGCTACATCAGTGGAACTGTAAACTTACGTTCTCATTATGGGGGTGCACATGCTGATGAAGGGCTGCATGGCTATTGTGATGCTGATTTGGCAGGTTCACCCAATGACCATCTCTCCATCTCCGGATACGTGTGGTTCTTGTTGGAAGAAGAGAAGGAGATACACGCAGTCCAGAAGTATGGATGCATGCTACCAGCTCCGGAGGATTAACCTCCGAGCTTCTTTTCCTTTTCCGTGTCGTTATCATACTTATCGTTCTTATCACCTTCCACACCACACTGTTTCCCTACCAGCAATGTTGTCACTGGTAGTTATCTTGCCTTCTTGCACTTCTCGTGGACTCTTGGTACTTATATGCAGTCCCCATCGTACTTTCACCTCAGCGCTGTTTCTAACTGTCCGCTGAGGTATGTATTGACTAGTTACTTGTACTCATCCTTGATAACTTGTACCCTAGACTCCATTCTAGGTATATATAATATTAGCGCTGTTTCTAACTGTCCGCTGAGACTCTGTTCTAGCCTTTAGTTCTTTGCAGGAGGCCTTATTGCACATGTGTCGAAAAAGCAAATGACACATTCTCTCTCCTCCACCGAAGTGGAATATATGGCGGTCACTCACACCTTGCAGGAAGGTATCTGGCTCAAGTCGCTGTTCACCGAACTTCAAGTACCATTTATCCTCCCAATCATCCTTTACATGGATAACACCAGTGCCATCTCGCTATCAAAGGAAGCTAAGAATCATATTCGCTCAAAACATATCGACATTTGCTGTCACTTTATTCACGAGTACATTGAAAAGGGCCTTTTCTTTGCTCTCTGGTTAGCTTCCCATAGGAACATCGCCAACATCCTGACCAAACCCCTCCCACATCCATTGTTCCTCAAGCAGTCCACCGAGTTGCAGCTGGTACCTCGGTGAGGGGGTGTGTTAGCATCGAGAGCTTGATATGTTGAGTCACTTACTTCTCTTGCTTTATCTTGTTATCTTGCACCATCATACCATGCATTATTTAGTGCTTCTCATCTTCTCTTCTCCGCACATTAATCCTCTGGACTCATTACCTAAGCATCCTCGCAGATATTTGTATCGTGCTCGTCTTTTGATTGCACCTCAGTATTTTGTTCCCGCAACTATACTGAGGCATGCATCGCACTCGTCGTATCTACATCTTGTACTGACTTGTACACTAGCCTTCGCTAGGTACTGACAATTTAGTATTTTGTTCCTGCAACTATACTGAGCCTTCGCTAGTATTATCAAATAACATTGCAACCGGCGGCTAAAGTTGAGGATGTCCTCAGGTTCAAACTACATTTCCCGTGGGACAAACACCACGATAAACCAAACTTGAGTGTCACAACAAACGTCGCACTTCAGATTCAATAGTACGGAGGCGCACGGGTCCTTTTTGCACTGTGGTTGAGTCTGAAATTATCCTATTTACAACTACAGTTGCAGACAGACAAACTTGACAATTTTCATAGCCGCTCAAGGTAATTTTTTGGAACCAAACCAAGGCCAGATTTGAACTAAGGGAGCCAATATGTCCAAAAACACTGCTCCAGAAGTTTTCCCATGAGGTTTTGGTTGGCCAAATTTTTGAGCGATTTGAGCAATGTTGTATACCCCTTTGGGGGATTGAGGACATCCAAGAGTGGGCCCAAGGTGCCCTCTGCACCAGGATTTGGTCAGAATCATCTGTGTACAGCTTTATTTCACCTCTTTGCAGTTGAAAGTAAATTATAGAAAGGGAAAAATAACATTTTGGGGCATACCGGAGGCAATTGCATTAATACTTGATGTTCTCTAGCGCTGAAATGACTCTTTGTTTTTTTAAAGATTCTGTTGATATTTTAACAGAAACATGTTCAGGACATCAAAAGGAAGGGATTGGCATATTTTTCATGAATTTTAGGGTCGGCCAAATTTTTAGCCTCCGAAACCCTTATATGGTGGTTTCTTGAGGTTTTATTAAAAATCTGCTCGCGCAAACCAGGTGCTTGGTTTCCGATTATTTGTGGCAGCAGGAAAAATCATTCTTTGAGCATGTCCAGAATTGTCGAGTTTGTCTGTCCGCAACTGTATTGTAGGCTAACCCCAGGTGCATCCAACTGTCTTGCTGTGTAAGATACGACGCAAAAACGATACGAGCCTGAGTAACACAACAAACAACACAAAGCAATGTGACTACAATTTGCTTTTCATTATTTCACCCCATCAGCGACGTTACAAACAGAAAATAAACAGATCCCATCGTAGCATGCCATAGTGGGTTTTCACTGGGCATGATTCTTGGTTTCTTGGCGTGTGCTTTTGCCAAGCTATATATTGCCTTGCTCGTAACGCTGAAAAGAACAACGGTGACTATCTTTTTGAATTCGATGTGTCGGGCAAAATTAATTTCGTTCCGTTACACCGTGTTAACAGCGTGTAGTGACCGAGTTCAATTTGAAGCTTTCATTTGAACTACATTTGTCTGAAGTTCTTGCTCCATATATGCCAACGAACGTCGAACGTTTGACGAACTTCACATAACTCGATGGACTTGAGAGGCAAGAGTTATTCAAAACATCTGCTCTAACCGACTTGTCATTCCTCGCTGCAAGCGCTGAATCTCTTCACGAGATCGAGTCATGCGGACTTTGTGCTATGCAAACTAGGACACAGATCGTGATGTGCCACGCATCCCTCAAGACCGTCCACCACGACTGACTTTTCACAGGAGTCAGGATGTTGCATCGCAACGCAAAATTGCGGGTGTCCTGCAGTCGCGTCCGACGTGGTTACATGACCATCGTGTGTCTAGTCATTCCCGCTTCCGCAGGTTTCCGTCCGTGATGACATTTGAATGCGGGTAATCGGGTCAACAACTCACCCCAAGCACAGAGATATGTGGTATGAACTTCATTTCAGCCGATCTCTTACCTATAAGTATTTTGAGGTTCGCCGGTTTGTCTGGTATCTTTGTGATCCTGTCTGTCCTTCCTCTTAGTGTCTCTGCCTAGTAAACATGAACACATTAATATCCATTCTTTACCTTGCTCTCATAGGCCTCGTTACTGCCGCTCCCTCGTCACTCATTCCAAGGCAGGGTATCAGCAGTGGACTAGCCTCCGCCTTGAAATCATGCTTCTCGCTCGAAAACAGCTGTAATGCGACCACAGTTGATCTCAGCAACTTTTATAACTACACGTCGTGTTTCCTCCTAACTGCATGTACGGAGAGCCCTGCACAAATCCTCAGCGCATCCGGGGCGCCTGCGACTCAACCCCGGCTGACTGAATCTGTCCGAATAAAGCTTGATATTTGTGTTCTTTGCTGATCTGGTGGTACTATAGGTTTTCTATGCCATAACAAATGGGAATTCGTACATGACCCAACAAAACTACATCAATGCGTATTATCATCAGATTTCCATCACTCCTGGCGGCTCCTACCCTGACGAGTAAATCTTCCTACAATATATCGGGGTTCGAATTCTTAACAATTTTATTTGCAGCATCGCTTACATTACTGGTCAATGGTCGACCATCGCTGCTTGGACCGGGTTCTGCGCCACTGAAAACATTCCTTATGCAAACCT